TTCATGGGGCTGTGTAGTGTGTTGTCTGTTTAATAAAACTGTTATTTGGACCCCTAAGTTGGGTTTTGCTCTACTTTGGTTTGGCCCTGCTCCAGTCTCTGCTCCTCGCCCCTCTAACTTCTGTCTCATTTCTCCCTCTCCTGCTTCTGGCTCACTGCCACCTCCAACACCTGTCCTGAGCTCCTCTCTGCCTCCAAACTCCCTGTTTCTTTGCCACTGTCTTATCCCCTCTGCCTTTTCCTTTTCCCCTGAGCAACCAGATTTCTGCCTCAGTTTCTTTCCTGGCTGTCTCCTCCTTGCCACCACTTATCTGCCCGCCCCCCCCCCCCCCCCCGCAATATCTCAGCTGTCTGCCTCAGTTTCCAGCCCCAGTCTACCTTAAGTAAATCCAATCCTCAGTTCCAAAAATAAATACCAATAACAAATAAATAGCATAAGCCAAAGTCTCAGCTGAATTCTATAAAACCCCATACCATTATAGCCATTTACGAACTAGAACTAGACCCATTTAACCAGAAACTAGAACCCATTTAACCAGAAATATCTATTCTTGACTTCACAAAACAGAGCTTTGGATTCTCCTTGTTCTGAGTTCGTATAGTATCTCACCTCCTGAGATAGATTTCAGTGCTTTCAAACAGCACCCAAAACAAAATATCTCATCAGCTTTCAGTGCAAAATTATAAACCACCCCAGATTCAAGGATTAAGATATTTAGTGATGCTCAGTTAACATAAAGTAATGTAAAGGCAATCTACTATGCATACCAGGCCTATCGTATAAATAATATTACAAAATTCAATAAGGTCACAAAAATTTTAGGCTGAAGCACTGTAATGAATTTCAGTGGATTCTGGTAGCAGTGTTGCCAAAGGGAATTAAGATGTAGTTTGTCTAGGAACCTGAAATACTGTATGGGCACATCCAGACAAGTGCACATGTGCCTCTTGCCCCGCCTCAAACCCCTTTGAGGTGGAGCAAGAGGCATGTGTGGGAATGATAAAATGTTCCACACTGCAAGTTTGCTGCACGGGGAGAAAATTAGACCACTGGATATCCAGGGGTAGCCCTTGTGTGGGGGCCGAATCCTCTGTTGGAGGGCCATAACCCTTGTGTGGGGACTGAACTCTCTCTTATGGGGGCCAAATCCCCTTTGGGGGGCCATAACCCCTGTGTGGGGGCCATCACCCCTGTGGGAGGGCAGCAAAATATATATTCATGAAACATGTATTTAGAGTTCACTTTATTAATAAAATAAGAGACTTGCTTTAACACTGTAGATATATCAATAAAACATTGTCCAACTGACTGCTGTCTTTGTATCCCTCTCTCTCTATAGTGGTCTTTTGTTTCACTTGTGGAGGAACATGGATTTTGGGGTTTTTACAGAGTGACTTTGGGATTTTTTTTTATCAGGAATTTTTCAGTTTTCCAGTAGGGAACACCAGAATTCCTGCTAGGACCCTGCCTGCTCAGAGCTGGCACCTTGGACCCAGCTGGCTGTGGCTGACCTCCTGGCCAGTTGGGGCCAGGAGGACAGGCTTTGACAGTTCATAGCAGGCCACAGCACCCAGAACATCTTTTGGATGATAGCTGCCCAGATGGCCAGGCAGGGGGTCACACGTGGCAGTAGTGCTGCACAGAGGCCAACCCTGCAGCCACAGCCCACTGGCAGGTGGGCCAAGAGGGGAGCAGGGGGAGATGCTTCGACTGGCTGTGCAGTCCCCAGCTGGGTCTGGCAGGTGTGCAGCAGGTCACAACCAGGCAGCAGTCCCCACTGCCAGACCCCTGCAGTGGGTAAAGTGTGCAGGGAACTCTCAGGGCTGCTTCAGTAGTCCAGTTGGCAAAGAGGGTAGTGTCCCCAGGTCCAATTGGCTGGGCCCCAGAAGCTCCTGAGAGCCAGTAGCCCTGAGCTACTTGCCAGGGTGGCTTATTATACCACTGGGGACATCACAGGTGCTGGCCCCGGGCTCTAGCTCCCCCTGGCTGCAGATCTGGGAGGAGCCAGGCAGAGCTATTTTGCCCCAAGTGGCACAATTTGTTTCACAACAAAGTGCATGTCTAAGCATGTGTGCTGAGGCAAAAAGTCCCGGCTCAAATTTGCACTACTCCTATTTGAGCTGCTGCAAGCACATGTGCTTGCATGTGTAGACATGCCCTATACGTGTAAATAGAACATGGAAAATACTCTGAGAAGTAGGCGTATATAGCTACTCCTACTCCTATAGCTAAATTGCTGTTGTGCAGCTTTATCACAACTGTAATAGGGAGAACTTAGTGGACAGAGAACTCAGGCTTTTTCTACATTGTCATTAAGGCCTGCTCATAGCATGTCTATCTTATTCAAAGCAATCAACTGTGCTCTTTCATTTGAGAAGACTTTCAACAATGATGTTTAGGACTCTACCCTCTCCTCAATGCTGTTCTCATAACTGCAACCACAGGTGGAGCTGAACAAGTGCATTGGTGATACATTTTTACAAAGATACCAGCACAGAGAAGGTTCTTTATAAATCAGCTGCAGCATGCTAGCCTATCAAAGATGTCTGTATAAAATCCATATCTACAATGATTAGAAGAATTAGATTAGAACAGCACTAGCACTAATAGTATTTGAATGCAACAATTTAGGAGATGTCATTCACAGCATTGATTGTGCTTATAGGGCTATTTGCCCCTATAATAAAGGCTTTGCACAAAAGTGTCAAGGCTGGGCTGGGACTGGGAAGGATCTATATAGTTGAAGCAGGATAGAATTAAAGACAGTTTCCTAAGGGGCACATGTGCAGTGCTATGCAGAAGACTACAAAGTATTTCATTCAACCTAGCATTTTCAGCCCCTCAGCAGTATGACAACCACCCATCTATACAATTCCCCCTAGAAAAATGCAGTCATGTGTCTGTATCTCACCAGTTTTGTATAGATTAGGTCAGCTTGAAGATCCTAGATGTGCTTCTCCAAATCAGTTACTTTCTTTTGAAGAGCCTTAGAAGCTAAAAAAAACCCAAACAGGTGAGGAGTTACCTAATAAATGATTTCAAATTACCATACAACCATTGCTTTGGGCTGGCCCCACTACACTGCAGTAAACTGCTACTGGCCTCTAAAGCAGGGGTTGCCAGCCCCTCAAGTTGTTACATAATGACAATGTACCATAGCTTGCTTAACTGATCATGTAATGCAAAGATCACTGTTTTCAGAGATCATTGGGTACGTCTACACAAGATGCTTTACTTGAGATTAGAGCAAATTACTGCACAGTAAACACCACAATCTACATGTTCAGATGCTTACTGTGCAGTAATTTTCTCTAATCATAAGTAAATTTGCTACCTGTAAATACAAGTAGCAAGTTTACTTGTGATTAGTTACTGAGCCATATGGCATGTGTAGATGGCCAATTGGGAGCAAATTTGCTCCTGGGCAGCTGGGCAGCAGAGGAGCGGGAGATTGCTCCCTGACCCATGAGCTGCCTGTTGCCAGGGTGGGCTCTGACACTGGAGCCCGGGTGAGGACAATGTCTCCATGCCCCAGCAGTAGGGAGCTCCCAGCCCCTGCTCCCTTATCATGATTGCTGAGTTGAGACAGGAGATCATGATCACAGAGCAGGGGCTGGGAACAGGCCCAGCTCACTGCTAGCTTGCCCCACTGGCAGATTGGGGCAGGGGACTGAGACCTGCCCCTCCCCTGCAGCTCTTTCTAAGCTCCCTGCCCCCAGTAAATGAGCTGGGGCCAGGAGATCCCTGCTGCTGGGACAGGGGGACATTGTCCCCTCCTGGGCTCCGGTGATGGAGCCCAGCTCAGCAGCAGGCAGCTCCTGGGGGCAGGGAGAAATCTCCCAGCCCCCACCAGGAGACAGCTGTCTCCTGGCCCTATGGTCTCTGCCAGGCCCTGGGATAGCACCCAGAGGGAGCCTAGAGTTCTCTTTGGCTGCTGCAGGGAGCTGCTGCAGGGCCGGAGGGGGTGGGAGCAGACTGCTGCCAGGAACAGCAAATCTTTTCCTGTATGCCCATATGTGTAGGTGCCTGCCCAGGGTGGATTTACTCTGGAGTAATTTGTTCTAGAGTAAACCCATCCTGCAGCATTTTCATGTATAGACATGCCCACTGCCACCTGACTCTGGGTGTGTAGGATTGATGTGGCTGAAGGGATCCCAGAAGCATGGATGGAGGGGGAACCCCTCTGCCAATCTTGTGTTGATTGTGGTGGCAAGGCAGTGTTCCAGGATTGGAGGGGATAATGGGGGGCAAAGGGAGCAACTTGGATCACAATAGAACAATCTAAGGGTGAACGGGGCAGTCTAGGCGGCAAAAAGTGTGGCAGCCTGGTTGCACCCCATCTACCTGTTCCCTGCCTTTCTTTCCCCCCCTCCAATCCTGTCCCTCACACCTTTCCCATGCCCCACTCCTGTTGGCCCTCCTGCCCACTATAATCCCTTTTCCCTCCCTCCCTGCTGACCCTGTCCCCACCCAACAGTTTTCTGGCTGTTCCTAGATGTCAGTCCAAGATGATAGCTAGTCCACTTGGGACTAGTGCCTCCTGGGATATTGGAGGACTGGAAACTGGTGGTTTTATCTCAGGTGAACACTTAGAAGTTAATTTAACTTGAGCTAGGTTGGAAAGCTCAAAGATAACCCTCACCGGAAGTGATGTAACTTTAAGATGCATAGAGGTCACTTAGCCTTAATGTGTGATTGTGGAAGGGCAGCTGGGTCTGTCTCGGTTCTCCTCTGAACTCTCCTGCCATGACTTTGATTGGAAAGGAAATAAAAGGTTCAGTGATATTCTCTAGGGGTGAGAAAAAAACCCACAGACCTCCTGGATGGTGAACACACATGGTGCTGGTTTTATTTAGCAAGTAATGACAGGTTAACATTCACCTTACCAATTACCTCATTAGCGAGGGAGTGCCATGGTTGAGTGGATAACTCTTTTAACTGACCATGCCCCAGAAACTTTTAAGCTATTCTTAGATCTAACAGTGTCTTCCACACTAATTAAGTCATTAGCAGAGCGCGTTCCCCACGCCTCTGTGAGCAGCGAATGGCGAGCTGCCCCCACAGCTACTTCTGCACCTTACTGGTGGGGCTGACTAGGCTCTCTGTTATCTGATAGTGCGGTTGGTACCGCGCTGACTTGTCTGCCTAAGGGGTGCCCCAGACACCTCTATCTTGGGGCTCTTCTTGGCTTGACAATCCCCGGAGCCCCGCCTTCCCTCTGGGTTCTCTGTGTTGGCTGTGGGCCTTGGGTCAGTACCGTCTCCTTACCGGCCAGCCCTGGCATCCCAGAGTCAGTAGTCTTGAGCCCTCTTCACTGATCACTCATGCTCCTCGCTTCCTCTCTCACTTTCCTTGCAGTTCACTCCTCTTCCTCCAATGCCTGAAGGCAAAACGTGCTCACTTGCCACCATGCTAATACTGGCCGCAGCGAGTTAATTACCCTGATCTCTCCCTGGTGTGTGATTCCCCTCACCTGTGTAAGGTGTCCTCTATGGTTACCCACTCCTGTGGCTACCCTAGTAATGGGGCTCTTGCCTGAGCCTTTGTTACAATGATCATTCAAGTTTTAAGTGCTCTTAACATGGTTTAATTGTAATGTAATCTAACCCTAATACTATCATTACTGGGCATCTTCTATCTGTCAGTGATCACCAGGTCAAGTTCACTCCCACAACACTATATCAGAGAGTCTTACATTTTGGGGGGTTTTGTTGGAAGGTATTTTAAGTGCATTTCCACCAACTCAAATATATATATCCTTGCCTATAGTAATTCTCTGGGTTTTGAATCCTCAGAACCACCACCCTTGTCCATTGTGAATCTATCCTGTGTCTGAAGTATGGATGTTCTATATAGGAATTAGAATGCCAGGGGGACTCACATGAGAGAAGCAAAGTAAAAATGTTAAGAGGAGGAACAAAAGCAAAATACCAGTTATATTCTAAGAGGAGTCTATAGAAAAGGGTAGGTCAATATAACCACATTGTAAGAAATATTTTCCTGCTGCTCTGTTTTTCTGCTGTTCTCCTATACAGTAGAACAGTGGTGTCAAAGATAAGGCCAGCCCACAAAGGCACATCATCTGGTTGGTGGGGCAGCCCCATGCTATTCATATGGACCACTGACCCTGTTAAACTGGTCCTAGTTTAACAGCCCTGCACTAGATAGCTTAGGTTTATTACCATTCCCATTCCCCACAGCTTCAGAGAAACATATGCTGTCCTCCAAACAATGATATAAATGTACTGGAAATTACCACAAGTGCCCCAGCATTTTACCATACAAAATATGGCAACAGGTATAGACCAGAATACAGGAGCATGAGAGACTTGGTTTCTTACTTGCATACTCCCCCTTCTCACCTTTTGGTCCTCAGTCTCCTTTTATTCCTGGAGGTCCTGCTTTTCCAGGGTAACCCTGTAGGCCTCTTAATCCTTCTCCTAATATTTGATAAAAAGAAAGCTATGTAAATGTCTTTCAAAGCTGTTCTCACCAGCTAGTTTAGTGCTTCTATGCAGGGCCAACTTTTTTGATGACTGCTATCAAAATTGTTTTAATAGAAAAATGCCAGATCAGCTTTACTTGTATCTTGAAAGGTGGACTGCACAAATCACTCAATAATAAGCTTTATGACATGGCCCTTATGACATGCAGTGGGATCTATATATTAGATTACTATTTCTTTCACCTCTATCTTGTGTGAACTTTTGAAAAATTTTAGTCAATGTTTTTATTGAAAACTAAGTATATCCACAAAACTAATATAAATGCACAGGGTGCTATTAGTCCCCAATCATGCAAGCTGTTCCATCCAAGAATGTCCCTTTGTTTATACAGAGCCTTCTTGAATTTTAGCAAGACAATACTTAGACCTGCTTCAGGCAGCTTTCAGGTTTGTTTCATAACAGGAGGGGAAAGGGAGATGAGATTTATGGAAGGGTTTTTTCAGGATGGGGTAGGGCACAGTATACAAGCACACACTCTACCAAACCCTACAACCCCAGGAACTGGCACAGGAAGCTGGCAAGAGAAGTTCCCACTTTTATATAGAGAATGCTGGGGGGTTAGGGTCACAAGCCAATGGGCTAAGGAGAGGGGAACAGACAGGTAAATAACATTAATGTTAAGGTACATGCATTTAGTATCTGGGTAGCAGGATGTAAACAGTGACATTGTGGTGACATCACCCAAGAACAGGTAACTGGTAGAAAATATAAACACTGTGATATATACACTTGAGAACCTTAAACCCTCCCACAACTCCAGAGGACTCCAAACCAGTCTCTCATCTCATAAAATGCTTAACTGCCATCTGCCTAGGTTCCATGCCTGAGCCTGCACTGCAGCAGCTCTCAGGCCTACTCTCTGCTCTTTCCAACTCTCTTTGGCCATGCATCTTTCTTTTCTGCCACAACAACTCATTCCTTTATAGTTTCACAGTTTGTAGGGTTGGAAGGGACCTTGGCAGATCATCAAGTCTGACCCCCTGCCATGGTCATCAAATGAACGCAGCAAGGTGTTCATCTAGCCTCCTCTTAAAGACCCCCAGGGTAGGAGCCAGCACCTCTTGTCTTGGAAGTTGGTTCCAGCACCTAGCCACCCTGTCTGTGAAGTAGTGCCTCCTGATGTCTAGTCTAAATCTACTCTCTGCCAGCTTGTGACCTTTATTTCTAGTTACTCCTGGTAGTGCTTGGGGGAACAGGGACTCCCCCAATGCCTGCTGGTCCACCATGACTAGTTTGTAACAGGCCACTAGATCCCCCCTCAGCCTTCTCTTGTGGCCTCTCGTCGTAGGGCCTGCCCTGCTGTCTCCTAATCATGTGGGTGACCCTCCTCTGGACCCTTTCAATACTGTCCACATCCCTCCTGAAGTGCGGCGCCCAGAACTGGACACAGTACTCCAACCAGTGTTGCATAGAGGGGGAGGATCACCTCCTTGGACCTGCTTGAGATGCATCTGTGGATGCATGACAAGGTGTGGTTGACCTTCCTGACCGCATCCCCACACTGTCAGCCCGTGTTCATTTTGGCATCAATAATGATTCCAAGATCCTTTTCTGCCTCTGCAGTGACAAGAAGGGAGTTCCCCAGCCTGTAGGTATGCTGCTGGTTCTTCCTCCCCAGGTGCAGCACCTTGCGCTTGTCAGTGTTGAACCCCATCCTGTTCCCATCCACCCACCCCTGTAACCTGTCTGGGTCTGATTGCAGCCTATTCCTCCCTTCTAGCGTGCCCACACCCCCCCAAATCTTAGTGTCATCTGTGATTTTGAACAGGGTGCTTTTTATACTCTGTCCAAGTCGCTGATGAAGATGTTGAACAGCGAGGGCCCGAGGGCCGA